TCCCCTGTGTAGTCAAAGTCAACACAATTCCATATATAACACAATTCCATTTTACCCATGATAAACACTAACACCTGTATCATTTCTTCCCCTCTCCTGGTTCCACCAGAAAATATTAATCTTAGACAACACTGAAATCATGGACCCTGAATCCTGTCCATTTAACTTCTAGAAAGGTAAAATGCTTCTTGCCACTAAAAACCAATATTACTCTGGCTATGAAATGGTCTTACAGATTTATCAAGCTCTTAACTACTCCCAAAAGTTTCACAAAGTAAATACAAAATACAAATACAAATACAAATACAAATTCCCAAATACAGAAGGTCTTTGTGTTTTAGGAAACATTGCATTGATGTGTTCATCTTTTGCCATGGCAAATGGCAGCCTAATGCTGAGACTCTTTCTGTGACTTGATACATGTCATTTCTTATAGGTAGAGGAAATCTTTAAGAATGACATATAGATATAACAAGAGCCATATTCGAGATCCATGGCAGGATGCAGCCAGGGCTGTATTCTAAATTGTCAGAGAAGAGCCCTCAATTACATGTTGAACTTGGCTAGGTCTGAGCTGTGCTGGAGTGGCTGCATTTATCTAAAAGGAAGTTCATGTGATACAAGCATAAAATTTGCCAGACTGGTGTGTTACAAAGTTTGGTTCTGCATCTCTTCAGTCTGTCCACAACCACCTGGAAATTTGTTGCATTTGTTCTTCTTATTGCACAACTGATTTGCCCTCCTTTATCATAAGCCTGTCTCTTCATGTCCTGACCTGTGAAAATGACTGTTCTCTGTCAGCTATGCCTTATGGCTTCTCTTGCCTGTAAGCTGGATCCTTGCATCACTTGGAGCTGACCATTCTGAATTCCCATTTTTCCAAGACTATCATTTGCCATCACCTTCTGAGGAAAAAAAAAAAAAGCACGTAGCAGCCTAGCAGCTGTCTATAATTTTAATTCACTTGCAGCTGATTTCTATATTTGCTAAATCTTCTTTTTTCTATCCTCACAGCACTTTAGGATATAGTGAAATTTGAAGTAGAGCTATTAAGACCTTACTCAGCTTGGCCTGCATCTTGCATAAATTGCTGTTACTTTTTAAAAATGCTACTACTGTCCTAATAGAGCATTAAATGTCATTGTGAATAATACTTCATGCCAGAAGGAAAAATCTTGAGTCTTCTCCTGCTTGTCAGACAGTTGGGAAGGACTTTTAGATAGTCTGCATGATGACCCAAACAGGGAATGCTGCCATTCACTTTTTTCCTTGATTCCTCTTTGGTAGGCTGCCCTGATAGAGCTGTAGAGCAATCAGGCTGAGAGAACACAGATATTTTGTATTTACAAACCCTTCTGCTGTGTTGTGCTGCCTTCACAGCTGTACAGCATGGACCAGCCAAAGTGCTCCCATGCACTGCAGACTGGTAGTGCCAAAGTCACCCTATTTCTCACAGGGCTTTTTCTTCAGCACATCCTCTGTGTGGCTGCATGAAGGATGGCAGTGAATAGGCACAGCAGAATGTGTGCTGTGTTGCTTTAAACAGGGACAGAGTCTTTGGCCCACAAATCTGCCCATTCCTCAGTAGGGCTGCATTTCCAGACTGCTGTCTGGTGAGTGCCAAGTTGTCCTCCATTCCCCCACTTTTCATAACTCTTAAGCTGAGTTATTTGCATCCAGGTATTGTCACCCAGAGGCTGTGCCCATCATCTGCATCTCTGCTTCCTGGATGGTCCTTTTCCCCATCTCTCCATCAGTCTTTACCTGGAGGGCCTGTTCCTTCCCAAGGCAGGTCTGACACATTTGACTAGCCTGATGGCAGAGTCCCTTTACTGAAAAAGATTTCCGAAAAGGCTCCCTCTGAATAATTTGTATGGTTGCATGGTGAGCAAGAACCACAGCCACCGAATGTGCTGGATGCAAATGCCAGCCTTGCATTACCCACGCCCCGTTGTTCCTGTTCATGCTGCAAGCTTCCTTAAGAACAAGCCCTTGGTCCCATAGTTGAACTACTGGAAATCTAAGTACAGGCTGGAAGTGTGAGATTGTTGAGAAAATTAGCCAAAAAGAAAATTTAGATCTATGACTAAATTAATCCCCAGATTAATGCTATCAAAGCAAATGGTGTTTATAGAAAGTCTTGTTTTCTTTATATTCATGTGAGAGAAAATCAAAAGAATGCTAGAGGCAAATTTCATCTAGCAGAATTGGAAAAGAGAGCATGGGGACAAAGCTGTAATTACTGGTATTTCCTATCTGTTGAAACCTGTGGGTGGAAAGAGAGTCAGTGAATAGGGTATATTCAATGGCATTAAAATTGGTTTCTTTTTCTGGACTTTAGCTCAACACTGCAAATTAGCAGGGGGAAAATAAGCCTCAGAGAGATCAGGCAGAGAAGCCAACTTCATGTTACCCTTTGCTGTTAGGGAAAGAAAAAGGCATTTTTTTCCTTCAAGAATTCAAATTCCTAGCAACCCGAGGTACAGCTGCACACTGACAAGCAGGGAACGTATGGCATTTCTCACGTGGTTCAGTGTTTGTGTGTCCATATACACACCATTATCTTGTTTTCCTTTTAAACATTACGTTAATGAAGAGAGGACAAGCATGCTGTTTAGTTAACTCTTGCTTTATAAAAACGACGTTCTGACTCAGATTCATCATGGTACAGCTTAGATACCTGCAGGGGTATCTGACTTTAGATCGTTCTGTGTCCAGTCAGTGGAAGGCTTGAGACCCTCCCAGCCATGATTTGGACCACCAGAGATCAGAATTGACATTGCTGGGCACCCATCTCTTTCTGCAAACCACTGCAGGTACTTAGGGTAACTGTACTCTTAATCAGCCTTTGACAGAACTAGGAAGGATGATTTGAGACCTCAACATATTTCTACTTATGACTGTCGTCCCACATGCAAATTTCTTCTGTAAGCAATAGCTGCTACTGAATTAGCTTTACTCTTTATTTTGCTACTGAATTCGCTGTTACTGAGTGGGCATTACCGAATGCCTACAGAAAAAAAAAAAAAGGAAATATTTTTTAACCATGTTTTTCTTACAGCTAAAAAAATGTACCTTGCAGTTTGAGATCACTGCATGGACCTGAACTATTCCAAATAAGTCCTATGTCATACTTAGTTCCCATTTTTTTCCATTACAGTTAATAAATTGAATAGTTTGAGACTGCATTTTCTTTAAAGTTTTAAAAGTATAACAGAAAATTACAGATATGTAGCTATAATTAGAAGTAATATATTAATAATAATAATGATATTGGTGTTGGGGTAAAGGTAGAGTTGATTGTTTGCTCAGTAAACAAAAAAATGAATTTGAAATACCAACCCTTGAGTATCAGTCTCATTCTCCAAACCTATCTTGAAATATTGCAAATTATAGTAGGAAAATCTATTTTGAATAAAATAATAGTTTTCACAATTGTGTTTTCAATGGCTTTAATAGAGCCTGCTCTTACATGCAAGAATATTGATTTGTGTTAGATTACTGTGTAAGGCAGATTTTTGTCTTAACTATTCCAGAATATGATTTAATATTTAATTAATCCTGCTTCAGTTTAGCTAGATATGCCACTGGAGCAACACATTTCCTAAATATTTTTGTAAATGGGTTATATTTTCACTTTACTTGCTAGAGTCCTCTATTTAATAATTATCAAGCCTCAAATGGAAACCAAAAAAAGGTTTGTTCTCCTGTGCATTTCTCTCACTGCTCATGCACAGACACATGTGCTGCTATGGGTTGTCCCTTGCTCTTGGTTAGCCGTGCTCACTGCCAAACCCAAGGCCAGCCTGTGATCCTATATCGATTGCAGCAGGACATTAAAAGGGTGTGCAGTGCTTCACAGAGCTGCCCTATGCAGTGCTGGGGCCAGGCCCTCAGTTCTGGGCTCTTCAGGGAATGGATTGCACCTTTGTACTTGAATTTTTGGGTTTGTTGTTTGGATTTTTTTTTTAATGTGTCAAACTACTGTTAGAATTGCAAATAAGATTTTTTTTTTTGTCTATTGAACTCCAGCATGTCTTAATGCGATGTTTTGTCTTCCAAATCCTACCTCAGAGACACGTGGAGATTAGAGCATCTAAGGGAACAAGTCTGGTTTGACACTATTTAAAGCGTATGTCTTCTGCTTAAGATTTAACTATAATTCATAATTAATTGTTTTAAACTTGTCACCATGGTACCAACAAAAAATCCTTAGGAATACAAAGTGACTTTTGAAACCTATCCTGACTCTCAGATTGCCACCGCTGAGGAACATGTGGTAGTTCTGCATCCATTTGGGGAAATTCCCTATAAGTGGTGCTCAGGTGGGCTTTGCCTTGGCTCCAGAGGAGATTTGGGCAATATTATTGCGCCACCCACTTGGTTATTTCAGCTTTCATCCCAGTCCCTGGCTCTCGGCGCAGCCCCAGCCTACCTTTATAGCACTGGAGACATAAAGGAGAGCTGCAGCAGCAGCACAACCTCAGCAAACCTCCGAGTCGAGAAAACTTCTCTACACCCCCACAAATACCCATTGCTGTTCACTGACAAAGATAACTTCTGGCTTTGCCCTCTGTCTGCAGGCAGTTTCCCACTGGCCCGGTGGCACAGCCCTGGATGGATGCTGGATGGTGATGCTGGAAGTGGGGAACAGAGCTGCTCCCCAGGTGTGGTGTCTTGCAGCCCCCCTCCCCAGCTGGCACACACGGCCTCACTGCTCTTGGCCCTCAGTGTTTGCCATCTAGAGAGGCTGAAAAACGCCAGCTGCACCCTGGACTTCTGTTTTCTCTCTCTTCTTGCCTCCTCTTTGCAGAGCTTGTTGCCCTTCCCATTTCTTAAAATGCACTTGCCCCGTCTCAATCAGTTTGTCTCCTAAAACTTCTTCAGGATTCCTGTGGGTGAAGATGTTTCCTGGCAAACCGATGTGTTTGTAAAGAACAAGACTCCCCAACTACAATTTCCAGAGGTGTCTCAGGAAGTTCGTATTCTTTCTTTTCCAGGGAGCATTTACTTTCCGCGGGAGCATGATCGACATGCCATTACTGAAGCAGGCACAGAACATTGTTACACTTGCCACAGCCATCAAGAAAAAATGAGCTGGTAAATGAAGCTCTCACCATGGGGCCCCAGTAGCTGTTTTAAAAGATGACTGTAATACTTGGGGGGTGGTGTGCAAAATTAAAGACGTCAGGCTTAAACAGAAATTAATTTCCATTTTGCAGATCTGTCATAGTTTGCTTGTCGGAATTGCTAATTACTAAAACTATTCCCAACTCAAACCACTGCTCGTTCCTACATGACCCATGTTCTAGTCGTAGCCTGCAATGAAGTTACATCACCAAATCTGTGACATCACAGTAATTACTACAAATGCTCGATTATGACTTCACTGAAGGAGAAAGGCAAAACACAAGCCCTGAGTCCTGTTAAAAGAGCAGATGGAAATTAATTCAGTTGTTTCTATTTCTTTCTGTGCTTCTTCCTACTCTGATGCAGAGCTCCTGACCTAAAGGAGAAAGACTCGAATAATTACTCACCAGTTGAAATAACTGCAATGAAAATCTTTACCCTGTGTGAGCTTTGCTTTCCCCCCACACCACCCTTCTGTAAATGTGCAACAGCCATTAAAAATAATGCTCCAACAATGCAGGACTCTTGACTTTCTTCTCTTTTTTTTAAGCAGTTGCTATTCAGAGAGTTTCCTCCTGGAAGCGTCCAGCCCGGGAAGGATTGGACGGCAATAAACTTGTAGTTTTTGGAGACACAATGCAGCAGAACTTGTGCATATGGTCTCGAGTCAGATTTACATCACATTAGGGATACGGCTACAGATCATGTGGGCTGTGTGGTTAACGGGCTTAGTAAAGCTGTTTTGAAGAGGTTAACCCAGCTTGTAGTAAGGGTAAATAAACATAACAACCAGGCATTGTCCTCTATTCAGCATGTACTCTTATATGGAGGGCTAAAGGGTATTGAAGCTGCAGAGGATCAACTTGTGGTTGCCAGAGGACTCCAATGAAGTTTGAAACACCAACAATCAGAGATTTTGTTTCTGTTCCTCATTAAATCATGAGCTTTTGTGCTCAGACTATGAACGACTGTTCTTTAAGAAATTAACAGAATGGGAAGTTTTAAACTATGCACCAACCTTTTCATGACCTACACAGCAGCAATGCTGCTGCACTTAGACAAACACCGCGGGGAAGGCTGTTCTGTTTATTTAAAATTGTAAATAGAAAACAGTTGTTTTTTAGTTTCATTTCTCACCGCCTCCATGGCCATTTCGCGTATGGAGCCACAGTGCCTTATTCTCCCGTTCCCTCTCTTAGCGTGTTTCCCCTCCGTCTCCGAGCAGCGATTTCACTTGTTTTGGGTTATTTTTGGTTTAATTAAGGGGAGAGGAAAAGGGGAGAGGAAGAACCCCACCGCCCGTCCCGCCCGTGGAAGCAGCGAGGGAAGGGAGCGCGGGGGCGGCGGGAGCGCCTCTCCGCGGCTCCCCCGGGAACGGCGAGGACACGGCGGGAACACTGCGGGGACACGGCGGGACCCGGCCCAGGGAGCGGGAGAGCCGCCCACCTCCGTCCTTCCCCCCGGGGCGGCCCCGGGGGCACCGGGCCGGCGGCAGAGCCCCTCGCAGCCGCTCCGCGGAGTTTGGGGATGAGCAGCCGGGGCCGACCCCCCTCTCTCCCCCTCCGCCACCCGGGTCCCGTCCGAGGCGCTGCGCCGGGGGATCCCTTACAGCGCGGGGACCTCCGGGCTAATCTGATTAATTAAAGACTACCTGCTTGTACTGCAGCTCCCCCTCATCCCCGCGCGTTTCTGGACACCCTCCGTTATTAATTCCAGGCTGACTAAATTATGGGCAGCACTATTAAAACATTATCAGAACTAATGAGAGACAATTACTTAGGAGATGAGCTGGGACGAGCCGTAGCCGGGCGCGCGTGTCGCTCTCCCCGCAGATTGCGTTAATAAATCATCAGGTGCACGGCAAGGCGGCGGCGAGGCCTGGCACAGGGCACGGAGAATAAGATATATGAGAAGAGGGTTGTTTGGAGTTGTTTTTTTGTTGTGGGTTGGGGTTTGGTTTTTGTTTTTTCTTCTTTTTTTTTTTTTTTTTTTGAATAATTTTTACATTAATCTCAATAGGACGCGTGTGGTGCAGATGGTTTTATTCCCTTAATACCGCGTAGGAAGAGGGAGCGGGGGGAGGGGGAAGTAGGATGAGGACGATTTCAAAAACTAATGTCTTCATTGTTTTACTGAAGTCTGAATGGCCAGGCGTGAGGCGGCCGCGGAGGGCAGCGGGGGCTGCCCCCGGACCCGCACCCGCAGCTCGCCCGCGCTCGGCGCCTCCTCTCCCTGGGCAAAGCGAAGGGACAGTAGTAACACACTCTCCTAAAGGGTTTACGCGCCCCCTCCCTCCTCCGCAGCCGACTGCTTAAGGAACTTCGTGACCCGTACGCGGAGAAATTGAATATGCAAATAAAATGCTGGATATATTCAGATTTTTCCTTAAATTTCCCTGACACCCACCCCTCCAGCGGAAAATCCTGCTTCCTTTTAACAGCCTTAACGATTTTTGCTTTATCAAAAATAAAATCCGATTTATCTGGCTTTTCCGTTTACTTTCCGAAGCTTTCCGCGATTTTCCGGCTTTATTCTTCTCCTATTTCTTTCTTTTTCTTTCTCTCTTTTTCTTTCCCGCCTGGTGCTAGGCAAGCAATTGATGAAACAAAACAGATTATAAGATTAGCAGCAGGATTTTGTGCATATTAATGATAGGGAAGGGCACCGAATGGGTTTGTAATTGCAGATCTTGCGCTTGGGATTGGGAACTGTAGCCCTGCTACAGCAAAGACCCCCCTGTGAGGTTTTCACATTGGAACTTAGGGGAAAAGTGAAAAAGTAATTACCAGAGCACAACACTGAAATGTTAAAGCACTTATTCTTTCTTTCAGCGTTCTGTTTTAAAGGGGAAAAACGGGCAAAATGGAAAATAAATTGCTTTCAAATAAGTAGGTTAGCACCTGAATGCTGGTGCGCATTTTCCCGGCTTTTTTTTTTTCCTTTTTTTTCCCCTTTTTTTTTTTCTTTTTTTTTCAAATTCTAGCAATTATTTAGTCGGGCATTGCCGACCATCCAAGCAGCAGAAAAGGGGGAAGGGAGGGCAAAGAGACCTCGGGAACACAGGGGTACTGCGCCTGTGAGATTTGAAGCAAATATCGCCAGGAAAGCTGTTCAAAGCTGCGGTTGGAAATTTAGTGGTATTTTTCTGGGATGTTTGGGGTTTTTTTGTTTTGTTTTGTTTTGTTTGGTTTGGTTTGGTTTGGTTTGGTTTGGTTTGGTTTGGTTTGGTTTGGTTTGGTTTGGTTTTGCTTTTGGTTTTGAAATCGGGATTTAAAAGGAAAAAAGATTGGTTTGGTTTTCTTTTCGACAAGAACATCAAACGGTATTTTAGCAAGGGATGCCTTTCACAACCACAAATCCCTTACAGGAACGGCGTATTCCTTACAATATCAAGAAGTAACCTGACACTGAATTTTAACTCTTATTAAAGGTTTCTCCTCGTTTCTTGAGCTGCTTCAGCCCCCTCTGAGCTTACTCTTCCTAAACTCTGGATTTTTGCATTTCAAACCCAGTGCTCCTTTACTGACTTTTCTAATCCTTCTCTGCCCTGATTAACAGCCAGAGATGGTTTAGCTTTAATGGCACCTACTCGCACGTATTGTTTTAATTCTATTTTCAACGGAAAATCAATGTATCTGGTGGAAATTAGGCTTTGAAAACTTTTTTTTTTTTACGAGCCAATAAAAAGGAGTATCTGCTCCTCGGGCAGTAATTTCTGATTTTGAATTGGAGGAGGGGGGGGGGGATCGGGGGCGAAACCAACTTCGGCTGCATTTTCATCCATCCCGTCCCTCCAACCCTCTTCTCCCACTTTCACCTCCCTCAGGTTCAAAGCCCCGAGGCAGGGCTGTGTTTTTATAACAACTGTTATAAAGATTAAAAAGTGGGAAGGAGGGAATAAAAGCTCGTGCGGGCAAGTCCATTATCTTCTCTTTTTTCCCCGTTGCTGCGGCAGGGGAGCTCCGCACTCCGCGGAGGGGAGCCCTGAGGAGCAGCGCCCAGCGGGGCGGGGGCAGCTCTGCGGGTGGCTTTGGGGTGCTGGCACTTGCACGGGGTGCCCCGCACATGGGAGGGGTGTCCTTCCCACCCAGAGCTGAGAATCTGGCAGCGGTGCCCGGGCGGCAGCAGGAAAACTCCCGGAGCGCTCCGCATTGCCGCGGGACCGCCGGGCTGCAGCCCCGAGACCCAGCGTGGGATGGATGGATGGATGGATGGATGGATGGATGGATGGATGGATGGATGGATGGATGGATGGATGGCAGCCCCTGGCCCCGCAGGGATCGGGACAGTCCCGTGACTTTCTGGGCTGCTTCCAGGAGCCCTGGACACCGAGGAGAAAGAGAAGGGGGGAAAGGAAAGGAGAAGGAAGTCAGAAGGAGGAAGAAGTGATTTAATCATGTTCATTACTCTGCCACAAAAACCGTCTCCTCCAGGCACCCTCAGGCCCACAGCATCCCTTCAGTCGGGATCAGGGTGTCCATGGAAAAGCCTACAGAGTGCTACACGCACACACATAAACACACACTCCAGCCTGGCACCAACGGTGCCTGCAAAGGACAGCACAGAAATTAGCACTCCCCTTTCCCATCACGCCTTCCCTCCCCCTCACCGCCCCCAGTTGGTCTTGTGCTCGAGGTGCTCCTCAAACCTCCCTTTGCCTCCCAGCACTGGGTGTCCCTCAGTGGAACAGAATGGGGGCTTTCCTCCTCACCCTGGTGTGCAGGGAATGGGATGCACGGTGGAAATGTCCCGTGTGTGCCCACACTGCAAGCAGGGGAGAGACCAGATAGCCTCACTGTGTTTAGGGTTATTGCTTCCCCAATTAATTCTGAAGCTCCCAATATGTGATATCAAAGCCAGTACTGTAAGGTGATGTTCAGAATGATGTCTTCAGAAGTGCAAGAGGCCTTGTTTCTAAAGCTGTTGTAGGTGCCCACTGCCTGCTGGCATCATTTGAAACTGATCATCCTGATGAGAATGAGGAGTGATAAATGCCTATGCTACTTTCTTGGGCCTCTGTAATTTAAAGTGTGACTCCGTGTAGCTTTTGATCTTATGTTTATAATTTTATTCCTACTTTTTCTGGTGCTGCTAATGTTATTAAAACTGTGTTATCAAGCACAAACACCAGTTAAGAATTTTCTGAACTGAAGCTTGCTGAAGGTAAAAGCCTTGTCTCTGTGTGACACATGCCTGCAATAACCTAGATGTTCATGCTGCTGGGAAGACCTAGTCTAGGCTTCCAGATACCTGACTTCCTTCCTGGCTTGCTTTTACAGTAGTCCCTAATATATTAAGTAGTGCTTGTGCTTGTCTGTTACTCTATGGGATGCCACTGGAAGTGCTTCTTGTTAACTCTCTATGTCCTGTTCTGTCTGAAAATGCAGCTAAGATATAGTCAGTGGTGCATGTATCACTGCAAATCTGATCATCACTGAAAGCCCTGCCTCCAGATTTGTCACCAAGAGGCCTCTGCTTGTACAATATAGAATTAAAGACTTGCAAAATGAGAGGGAAACCAG